GAGAGAGAGAGAGAGAGAGAGAGAGAGAGAGAGAGAGAGAGAGAGAGAGAGAGAGAGAGAGAGAGAGAGAGAGAGAGAGAGAGAGCTGTGAGTCTTTTTCGTGAAGGAAGCCAGGTTTCATTGTGTAATCCCTTTTCGAGATCATCGTGCCACTTTCGAACATGCGTTTCATGTCCAATGAAGGGTGTCAGTCCTTTGCGTCTATTCCCTGATCATCGCACACCTCTGCAGAAGGATGATATGTGGATACGTGATAATAATCACCGCATAAGGCATGTCCGCCTTCCGAAGAAAATGCGCGACGAAGAAAGGACAGTCCTCCTTCCTTGGGATCCCGGTGAAAGCCTTCCTGCAATATACTTGGGTTTTCTGCGCCACCCATCCCTAGTGAAACATCGCCTACGGTGACCAATGGCCGATGCGATGGTTTGCAAGAGGGGCAGGCCCGGATCCACTAGTAAGAGCCACAGGGAATACATTAGTACATATAGCATAGGACCATAACCCTCCGATTGAACCACGAGGAATCGTAGCTGCGCAGCCCAATCGCTCAGCTTGGTATACGTGGCTGCGAATCCTCTTGCCATCTCAATCACGACATGCTTCGCACCCGAAAACGAAGGGGGACATTTACGTACTGTCCTTTTTTCTGAGCAAATATATATATATATATATATATATATATATATATATATATATATATATATATTGTCAAATAGAATAAAATATATATATATATATATATATATATATGCATGCTTTGTTATTTCGCACCCACCAGTGGGGCCTATTTCTTTTACAAATAAGTTTTCTTAATGTTTTCATGTGATAAGTTATGTAGACAACACTTATGAAAAACCTACGTGCGAGACTACCTCCTAGTCGATGGCGCATCATGGACGGAGAGTTACCCTGAAAAATCCCATATGGCCCCCTTGGAATGGATAAGAGAAGGCATTGCGAAATCCTGTGTTCGTCTGATAAGATCTTATGGGGAAGCGCCGATGCTTTGTTTCGGGGCTTGAGGGTGGCATGGAATAGCATACCACCTTTCGACACGATGACGATTTTTTTCACATGACGTAACAATATACACACACACACACACACACACACACACACACACACACACACACACACACACACACACACACACACACACAACACCACACACACACATGCGTGTAGTAGCGTATATTTTCGTGTTCTAGCGGAAGATTGATTGGATTTTGCTCATCCTATGGATGGAACTTACATGGAAGTAGCGTTAGGCCAGCTGCAGGGTTGGAGACTCACCCCCATGTCAATTGGCCGCCTACCGATCAACCGTTTTCCCATCCAAGGTGAAGGACAAGCAACATCATTATTCCAATCGGGTTCGACCCAGAGCGCGGATGCAGGCAATCGTAGGTAGGGGCATCGTGTTCGAGATCGAGCATGTACCGCTTCGCCTCGAAAGCTCGCTCGAGCCGCTCTGGGTGAGATCATACTTGGAAAAGGAGAGAGTTAAAACAACAGACCAAGTG